CTTACGATCTGGCCCTCGTCTAGGTAGGCCTATCCTGGGTTAGGGCAGCCTAGGCCTAGCCTTGGGAGATACCGCGATTTACTTACTTAGGCTAGGCCTAGCCTTTGTCCTTATACACATCTAGATGTGTATAAGAGACAGCAGTCCCTCATAATTAGTAGGCCCTAGCCTACTAGTCTCTGTGGACGACCTAGCCTAGCTACACTAGCTAGGGCTGCTATGAGTCAATGACATACTTTATGACTGACCGGCGGATACCTGTCTCTTATACACATCTAGATGTGTATAAGAGACAGGTATCACACTTTCTATCTGCCTTTATAATGCTACCAAGATATTTTGTGCTCTTGATGTCTTCCTTGGCCTCAGTACTTCTTTCACTTGTGCAGTGAAGAGAGCATTTTGCCTTGCCTTCCCTCAACCACTCAGTATTGCTCCTCACCTATAACTTCTCTAATTTTCTTAGTTATCTTTACTCTTATTGCTCCCAGGATTATTTTTGTTACATGACTTATGCAAATATGCAATAGTTTTGTGCTGTGTGCTGTACTTGATTTTACTGTCTTTCACACTTTATTGGTTAATCTATACACTTAGATGTTGTATTAATTATTTCTTGACATTTGGTTGAATTCATCCTTAAGGTGCACAATGTAATATTATATAAAGATAGGCTCCCGATAGGAGCATGTGTCTACTGCTTGGCATGTTTTTTTTTTACTAACCTTTTAACTCATCCAACATTTTTGGGGCTTCGTCACCAGGACCAATTTCAAAAGATTTTAGGCGACGCCTGACCACACACACTTTGCTCTTGTCGGAGACATCGGTCACCCCGTCGAGCGCAACCCCTCATAATTAGTAGGCCCTAGCCTACTAGTCTCTGTGGACGACCTAGCCTAGCTACACTAGCTAGGGCTGCTATGAGTCAATGACATACTTTATGACTGACCGGCGGATACCAGGATAGGCTAACCTATACTGAAGTAGTGTAAACAATAACTCGACAGAAAAAACAGACTCAAAATGAAATGTCAAAACAAATTTTTATCTACTGTAATAATACTAATACTACTTATAGTAACACATTAAAATCAGTAGCTCTACTTAGGACTACAATTGTCAAATTTAGTGAAATGAAACATCTAGTCCTACCTACATAGAACTTACATTTGACATCGCAGCGCAAAAAACTAGTTGAGTAGTTTTGTTAGGTTTCTTATGCGGTAGAATCGGCTGTCACTCGTAACCTCTTATTATTTGATTTGACGTGTTCGCGAAATTAATCCTCAGCGTTTGATAGATTTTCGATTTATGATCAAAGTTGTCGGCTCATGATCAAAGAATTATGAAAGTTACCATCACTTACATCGGAAAAGCATTTCGATGGCATAGTGGCTACTTCGCGCAAGCACAGTAGCCACAAAGAATATATATGAAATGTCTATCATTGTTTATTGTAAAATGTACTATGTTACATCTATATGTATGATTTCTTATGAGTATTCTGTTTTTTTTTTTTAATTTATGAAATTCAGACAAGCTCCTGGAAAGCTATGCCTACTTGTGCAGCCTTATGCAGACATCAAAGAAAGCCTTGTCACACTGTCTACACAGACACTGTCTGTGACACCTGCCATCTCTGTCAGAAGGTTGACTGTGACTCCAGCTCCATTATGCCTTGCCGAACAATCTACATCTGTACAAAGAGCTCTTCAAGAAGTCAACCTTTCCTCTGTTCTTACTGATGAGAATAGTAGCCAACGTCCATTCATCCATCCGTCTTCAACTATTGATAAATTTTGTCCAGGTACTTCCAAGCCATTGCCAGTCACTCCATCCAACCCAACTTCTATTGAAACGCATTCTCTTGAACCATTGCCAAACACTCCGTCTAACTCTTGCTTTGCAAAGCCTTATCCAGTGAGTAAGAATTCATTGTCAAATAAACCGTCCACTTTAGTCAATATGTTAGGTAATGATGCTGATAATATGGCATTGTCCTCGGAAGATGCCTTCGATCCTGCCACTGATCCAGAGCAGACTCAAAATATGCAATTGAATAAAGCCTCTACCAGTAAGCAACACAGGCCAATCATGCAATCCAGTCCATTTAGTGAACCAACAAGTTATGTTTCTGTCAGTTGTGTGTCACCAGGTTCATTGGATGGCCATGGTGACTCTCTTTCATCTGACTCTTCCTTCAGCTCCACATCATCATTGTCTGATGATTCTGAAGTAAGGGATGGCAGTTGGTATGAGGGATTACTTCTGGAGAAGTTAGAAGTCACTGGGGTTGCTGAAGTTGCATCAGTTTTTAGTCTACCATTTTTTCAGAGGAGTTCTCCTGTAGTACCAACTCCAAAGCCAAAACCAGAAATACCAAAAAAACCAGAAAAGCCAAAGGTTCCATTAAAATTACAAATACCAGTAATATCAAGATCTATGATTCCAGAAAAACCAAAGACACTAGAAAATGCAAAACCAAAGATACCAGAAAAACCAAAGCACCTTGTTAAACAATATTCTGCAAGAATTGTTTGTGCTAAAGGTGTGGAAGTGCCATCTATTCAGCAGGAGAAAGACCCTTGGCAGAAAATCAGCACCATCCCTCTAGATACATCGCCAATAAAGAGGAAAGGAAACAAAATTTCTGAGAACATAATCCCAGAGTCTAAAAAGATACGCCATTCTATTGATGATCGTGTAATGACATCCAACATCAAGCAAACAGAAAAAATCATTCCATTTAATGAGAGTCCATACAAAGTTAGTGTTGTTTCTGAAGTCCAACCTATGCTCCACGAAGGAACAGACAACTCAACAGATGACAAAGGTCTTCAAAGCTCTGCAAATTCTGAGGAATCACTTTCTGATGGTGCCATTACAATTCACTGTAGAAGTCTATCAAAGAGTATTGAAGAAAATGATGCTGTGTATATTGTTGACATGCTGTGCGATATGGAAAAGGATAAGGATGACAGTAAGGGATCGTCAAGCCTACAGGACAACCTCAATGTTTGCAAAGATGGAGATGACTCTGGGATGAGTGGAGAACGTGCCAAAAGCAAGAGACCAAGCACCAAACAAACCATTATGCTGGGAGGTGTCAAGAGAGAAGTCATATTCAACAAGAAAGTAGAGGTAAATATTCATTTCCATGTCCTTATGTTTAAGATAAAGGTTTGGGAGAAAGGGGATGTGGATCAGGGCTTCCTTTGCTTTTGTATTAAACCTCTTCTTTGCTTTCCAACAAACATATGATTCACATTCTTTTATTCCTCATGAATATAAAAACTTGAAATTCTGCCTTGGAAGGTTTAGCGTTACCAATTTCCATTTAATGCTTAATATTAATTTCTGTTGTTTTTTGTAGGCATTTATTGTTGATATTCCTGGAAGAGACTTCATTCATGCTGGCAAACTGTTCATTAGAAAGAAAGTCAACATGATTCAAGAGGTAGTTTTAAATCTGTCTCTTATACACATCTAGATGTCTGAGGTTAATCAGTGGACCTTTTGGCTAGTATATATGTTTCAGGGGAAATAACAGATTTTTGAATACCTTTCTTTCTGATTTGGCAAACAGTTACTATTATTGTTGCTGTTATCTATAATATTATTTAAAAGACAATAGTATAAATAGTTAATAATTATTTAAAATATAGAAATATTTGTTATTAAATTTGTTACTGTTTGTTTTTGTTGTTTTTATTAGTGAAATTATCATAGTCATTATATTTTTCAATGATTATAATGTATTTATAATTGATAATAATTCATCATCACTGTTTTATTTATGATTGATAGGTTTTTGGTATACTGTTTTCTGATATGCTGATATTTACTAAGCAAGTCCTACCAAACAAGATTAAGGTGCTTCAACCACCTGTTAAGTTCTCAGATGTTAGTGTAATGGAATTCATCACAAAAAGAGGTGTGTGTTTGTTTTTTTTTTATTATTATTGCGTGAGACTTGCAACCTGTGCTACTGTTAATACACTTGTGTTTGTATTTATTTTATTAGTTTACTGAATATGTTGTTTTTTTGTCCTGGTGTGGATGCTATAACTGTGTTTTTTATTATCATAATGTGATAAAAACAATTTTATTCCTGTTTACATTTTCTATTCATACGCCAATGTGTACTATCGACTTTAATGCCAGGTGTCTTTGCATTTGTTAAATATTTGCACTTTCTTTGTTTAATTGCTGGAATCTAGATCCTTCCATTAACAAAGCGAATTAAAGTTTAATCACATATACTGTATTTCAATCTTTCAGGAAATAATTAAGAGGTGTATATATTTTAAAATTTGAACATAGCTAGCATAATGCTTGCTTCAATGTATATAACATTATGATATATTACTGCTAGAGCAATGTACATATAGTAATGAAATGGCAGAAATGGTTAAGGATTTAATATTTTTAAATATATATTTGTGTTGAGTTGAATATTTGAGTGGATTTGAATAGCTTGGTGGTTAAATGCTCCTCTCCAATTCCTGGTTCCTGGGTTCAAATCCTGTCAGATCCCAGGATTATATGTTTGTCATGTGAAGGTATTGCCACCTATCTAATAGGACATTGATTAAATCGTTGGTATTCTTTGGCCATGTGCCTAATAGAATGAAATAAAAATAATTAAAATTTTGGATTGTTGATTTAGCAAATTAAAAGTCTAACATTCACTCCAGGATGATTATAATGGTCAATGACCAAGCACAGTGCATGCTACACATTTGTTTCTGTGCGGTTTATTAAATCCATCAAAATTGGCAGGTATTGCAAAGCAGTGTGGTAAAGATAAAGGCGAAATTATGTTGTTCAATGTTGTAAAAAATGGTCATGGACTTACATTTACGACACCAGAAGAAATATGTAATAAAAATACACATGGGGTGGTGTTCAATAATAGTAATTCAAGCTTATGTTACAACTTCTGTCTGGTCTTTAGGCTTCCGTTTGCCAATTTTTTATTGCTCATTTTTTATATTGTTTTATTCATAAATTTTCTTTATTTTATTATTGATTTTTACAGTTTGTCAATGTTACAATAATTTAATTTTTATATAATTGGCATTTGGCTGACTATAAATCAACTATTTAAATCTACTGTAATTGAAATTTAAAAGTTTGAATGATTTTAAGTTTTGTATTGTTTGGGGTCAGATGAATATAACTATAACAGTTGTTATTTCACTTGCTTACTTTATTAGCTTCCAGCATTGAAAATAAGAACAGATAATACCATTTTTGTATCTGGTGCATACTGTAGATTCTTTTGTGACTGGTAATCAAACATTTTGATTCAGATTCATGTACCATGTATTGTCATGAGGCAACAATATTAAATCTGATACTAATGAACATTTGTAGTTAAACATTGTTTCTGTGTCACTGGGATTTGTTAACTTTGTAAATGTCTTAATTGAATTTGTTAGATTTTCAGATAGTACACCATGAAAGTGCATTTAATATTTTAATGTTTATGAATCTGAATTCTTTTACCAGCCACTGAATTCCACATCTTTATGGTAACATCAGGCCACCCAGCTATGCTCAAATCAAATAAGATTGTACTTGGCGCTCCAACAAGTCGTCTGAAAAAAGTTTGGCAATTTCTGTTGCAACAGTATATACTTGAGTTCAAGATCTCTTCTCTCAAAAGCAATGTAAGTTTAATTATTTCCTTATTGACTATTTTAGATTACTTTATATGCAAAAGACTATGAGAATTGTGAATCTATCCCTGCAACTTTGCTGGTGGATTGATTCCAAGAGACAAACCCCCCCCCCCCAACTAATTTTCAGCATTGTTCCTGTATTGTGTGTTTTTACAGTCAACCATACTTCAGATCTTAGCAGGAGAGACTACATTTCTGACACAGGTACAGATATTTAAATGCATTTTGGCTGTCTTTTTATGCTCTTGTGTAAGAGTCCAAAAGACATCCCAGTATTTAAGCTGCGAGGCGACTAGCAATTTCATTTAATTTCTTTAGGCACGAGCGCCAAGGATATGCCAATCAGTGAACTTAATAACTGTCCTACGTGTCATATCCGTTTAACAACAGGGGACTTAATGGACCAGTACACCGGGGTAACCTAACCCCCTACGCTTCTCGAAGGATGTACTGGGTTCTTTAAATTGTACACGAACCAAATACGTACACTGGGCGTACGGTTTAAAGTCCTTATCCGAGAAGACTTGTTCCACCACCAGAACCCTTGGTGAGTGAGCTGTTCGAACCAGAGCCGATATTAGAGTTGAAGGTTACGGTGCCCCTGACTTAACCGCTCGGCCAATCAACTCACCCCATCATCCTCTCGGTGATACATAGCCTTGTCGGGTCACTTTTACATTCATGGTCAGCGCTCCACTTATCGTATAGTATAATTTCCTCCTCTCTTTCAAAGTATTCAGTCGAACTACAATAACTATACAAATTAAAAATATGAAAAATATGCATCCAAAAAGGCAATGACACGGATTTGTACTTACATATTGTAAATATTATTTTTCATTTAACATTTGTACTTTGTACAGACACAAGTCTGAGGATAACCTAAAGTAAACTAAATTACTATCGAGAGGCTCTCCAAACAAAAACATGACAACAAACATGCATATAAATATAGCAAGCAAAAATACAAATATGATAAAATATAGAAAAACTTTATATAGTAAAAATAATGCAGTCAACGCTCCTTGTATGCACTTTATTACACTAAAAGGGGAAGCCAACAAAGATTTAAAAAAAATAAATAGAAAAAATATTCATTAAATAAATGGTTGTGAAGATGATACTTAAAATTATGATTATTAATTAGAAGGTCTCTGACAGCAGGTAGTAAACTGTTCCAAATGTACGGGAAATAATTAAAAGATGAACATTTATGACAATCGGTTCTATTAATCGTTTTCATCTTGAAATTAACTAAATAATGCCTTTGAGTGACTAGCATTCTCAGCACGTGATAATATTTTAAAGAGTGGAGAAAGCAAATTGAATTAATGGCAGCAACAATACTACTTAAGTATAGTTGGCGAGAACACTGAGTAGGTCGATTCCAGTAAATGACCCATCATTTTAAAACTGTATAAATGTGGAGAATAAGAATTTATTAAAGAGTCAATTTTAATTTTTTAATGCTGGTTTTTAGATGGCAAGTCCCTTATTTTTATCAATAATTATATTTTCTTAAATTTATTTACAAATATTTTTCAGGATATGAATTTAAAATAGTTATTTTCAGATATGTGTTTACAAGGTTTTAGAAAAAAAATTAATTTTAGCCAGACTTCTTTTCCCCATTATTATTTAACATTCACCTTGAGTCATTATAGTAGAGTCATTACTGTAACTGCAGCTATTAGTACTTGTAAACTAATCTATTACTTAATATTATTCCCCATACAGGAAAATGAAATATTCTATTTCCAGATTTGAATAATTTCAGGTGCTCTAGCAATAAATCTAGACATGATAAAGATAATTATCAATAGAACATCATGACTTTCTTGCAAATGTTTTTTTAGCATTTCGGCAAAGCAATGTTTATTACGATCATGTATCATTTTTAACAGCATTTGATTGAACACACAAGATGACAAATGAAGTAGTATGTTACTGTAGGGTAGAGTTCGGTGAATAATTGTTTATATGTTATCAAATGTGTGTTGGGTTCAGAGAAGACTTGAGGAAGATGATTTAATCTAGGAAAAATGTAATGAAAAGGCAGTAAAAATGAATGAATTAAGCAAGGAAATAAACGTCAGGCACTTGGAATGTTTAAATCATTTGAAAGCTAAATGTTTGGAGAAGAATAATAACAAGGCTAATTTCAATATAATGTTTTGAATACACACCAGATCAACTTAAACATTTCCATTCAAGAAGAGAGAACCATTGGAGGATCTAGAAGTATTGTAATAGGGGGACTATATTTAGGAAAGTTAAGGAGGAGGTCACAGGGTAAGTAAGGAAGAGGGGTTGTAGGTAGTGACAATATTTAATATAGGTTGATGAACCATGAGTTATCAAAAAGAAAACTTTTACTGCGGCACTTATTCATCAGAAAGTGCAGCTAATCTTTTTTTTACGACTGAAGTCGATTCCACCGCACAACGAGACTAGAATATTACCATATTTGCATCTTAACAAAAACAGTATTTATCAATACAAGAGTTATGTCAACTTGACAAACATTCATGGTTCCATAATTATGTGATTGAGAAGAGGTGTGTCAGTCCCTTGTACATTGCTTGAGAGTTATAAATGTTTTCAGTTAAGTGAATTCCTTTGAAAGTGCAGCTCTGGAGAATGATTGGAGACTAAAAGAATGGACATTTTATTTGGAGATGCGAATGCTTCATGTTCAAACAAATTTATATTGCAGCAAATCGACAAAGAAAACAATTTAATGTTCAATAGCGCTTTAAGATAGTTTACACAGAATATGCTCTTAAAAACTAATGAGTCTTAAGTCTGCTATAAAAATTTAACAATATTTGTATATGTCTTTGGGAAGTGGATGGCGACCATAAACCGTCTAATATGATAAGTACTATCCACACTAGTTTGTACAGTTGTACCTTATGATACATTTGTTTACTCAAAAAAGGAGTGTAGGGCAAAGCCATGTAGGAAAATAGCTATGGTACAATGTATGGCAGCCACAAACATGAAACAGAGATAATGACAATAACATGTAAAAAAACCCCATGACACATGCCTTAGTAGCTAAATAATATTTATTACAGGGTAAATGCCTACAAGGTTGAATGTGAATAAAATATGTGATTTGCCCATATATGGATGTGCTAAGACAAAATTAGCATGCCCATATATGGGCAAGTCACAGATGATATTGTGAAAGAGCTTTAGATAATGACATCACATCTTCAACTGCAGATGTTTATCACATAAAAAGTGAGAGTATTGACATAGGCTTAGATTGCAGTATACAGTATATTCAGTATTTATATGATGCCTGCATCATCATCATGCCAATACTGTATGGATAAATCACAGATATTTGCCATATAAAAGATTTTATATTGGCATGTAAAAAAAATTGATTTTGAATTCAGTGCAAAACGAAATGTTTATCAAACAGTGCTGCTTTAAAGAAGGCGACTCAATATATATAATTTAATTTGTATTAATACTGTATACTGTAACAGTATTATATTGTAATAAGAATATACATTGCAATGTAGGTTTGTAGCTGTATGGCTTACATGTGGCACACTTATACCCCTTTCAGACACCTGCAAAACGGTATTAATACCGTATTACTCAAACGCCGGCGTTCTATGTGAAAGGGTAAATACACCTAAACGCCGGCTTCAGTTAGACCTCCTCGGGACCTAGTCTTAATACCGCATTAATACTGTAGCGAGTTTTTCCCAACTCGATGTGAAAGGGTACAGGGTTCATGGCCGTCTTACGCACTGAGGCATAACAAATCAGACGGTCACACAAGCAGCCATCCACCGCTGCTGCAGCTAACAAAGCCGATGAAATCGCTAGCTGACGGTTCTTTTAGACACGAAAATCACCTGCACCTAGCTTCTCGAAATTCAAGCCGGCCTCGCCTTAAACGCTTCCTAAATTCTTTCTTCACTTGAACAAAACGCATTAGAAACCTGTTTCTCAATTTATATGTATTGCAAACATAGCAAGCATTAAAAAACATTTGCAAAGCAGCAGTTTTATGACTTCATCCCCGACCATATTTGATTAATGGAGTAAACAAAAACTTGCGCCCTCTTTGTTAACAAGCACAAGCGCCACAGACATCAAATACTCCTTTCTGCGAGAACCCTTTCAGACAGGATACGATATTATTACCGTATTTTAACTAGCTGTGTGAAAGGGTCTGCGCCGGCAATAACGGCAGCGTGATTAGGGTATTATTGCGGTATTTTCTGTCTGAAAGGGGCTTTATTAAAATGGGATATTGGATCTAATAAAGATGTTACTTATGCAATTAAGCCAATCAATGGTATTGATCTGTTATTGATATGTTTCAATTAACGGTCACTGATGATCTCTTCATAACTGTTTTGATAGCGTAGTGTAGCATCGAGGTGAATGGATGCTGTACTATGATCATATGTAAATTATTCACCTTCAGGGTCTTTTGATTTTCTAATTTGCCTACATTATTTGCTATAGTTTGCAGGAGAAGAGATGTATGCATTTTAACTTTTCAACCATTACTATAATTTGGCATAAAAATAATCTGTTCACTTTTAAATAAAATATTACATCACTAATAATAGTTATTAGTTAGTAATATATGGTAATTAGATATTCACACTCAAATTAATGTTACTTGTGTTAGGTTGTCTTAGATTCAAATCTTAATATTTTTTATTATTATATATTTATATTTATGTTTATTTGATATACTTTTATGAGTTATTTTTCTTTTGGGTAATTTTTGAGTAGTTTAGAATTAAGTATCTTTTTGAACTTGAATTCTGTAAATAATGGATGCACTGTCATATGGACAAGTGTCATGTGGACAGTATGTTTGATTTGATTTGTCATACTATATATTTTATTGTTACTATTCTTTTTTTCTCAAAATTAAGGTCATTCCATTTATAATCACAGATTTTTTTTAAAGATTACTAATCACGTTTTGTCCCTGATTCACTTCAAGTTTTTAACACATAAATCTACGTTCATTGAGATTGACAAATCTGAAGTTTGGGCTATGTACATTTGAAGAAGTGTTAGAATTGTCTACAGTATTTTACCAAGGACTTCAAATAAAACTCCTTGATTTTACTATGCATCGTGGATGCAGTATTTGACTTGAAAATTGTGGCATTTTTTATATTTTTGCAATATATGGGTCATATCATTTAATAAAATCTGATACATAGTAACCTATTTGGTATATAGATGCAGCTCACATGTCTAAATTGTGTAATCAAGCTTGCATTTGGTCTTGTTGGAGATTCTGTAACAATTTTTTTTAGTATCATCACATATTTTTAATTTGTTTTTCCAGTAAGTATGTCCAGCTACTGTAATTATAATCATTGAAGACTACTATTAAGTGATTCCTAATTAAAGAATGTTTTTTTATTATTTAAATTAAAGAAGTTAAAATGACTTAACTTATATGACACTACAGAAGCTATTTATAATTAATTTTATAATTAAAAATTATTAATAATTCTATCAGTAGATAGTATAATACATACTCCAAGTATCAAAATGCACGCCATCGTGTCGGCATTCAATATTTCAACATTAATTATGTCATCATCAGGAATGATTCTATCAGTAGATTCCTGAATTACAATAATTTAAAAGTACAATGTATAATAGAATTTTGTTTTATTACTAAAGATATTAATACTATTTTAATATATTTATTATCAAATTATTTAATTATTCAAACTGAATTAATTTTAATTACCAAACTTAGGTATATACAATAGGATAGACCAGTTTCGGGAGCTGTCAATAATGTTAGTACTAGAAAATATTAAACCTAATTTATTACTTACATTACAGACGACATTATCATTTTCAAGTATACCCTGTAATCCTAAAACATATTACACATCTAGATGTGTATAAGAGACAGGTAATAGATACATAACTTCTTTTGTGCTACGTTTTAAACTTTATTTTTCTTGTTCAGAGATGTGCATTGACCAGAAGCTAATGGCCTTCATTAAAGGATGTATTATTTCCGTTAAACGGTGCCATATTTAACAAATGATTACTCCAACGAGTTAAAACACAACTTTTGACAATATCTAGCGTGTTCAGAACAAAAAACAGCTATGCTATCATTATATCATTTGTTTTCATTCTGTAATGATTTTTCTAGGTTTCGTATTGAGAATCGTTCAAGCTTTTCTAATGAAATAAGAGCATGTGAAGGTGGAGCCATTGTCGTAGCACTCCCAACCAAAACAAACCCCAGTCAGCGATTGTAGTATTTGATGCAGATGGGGTGTTTGATTGAACGTTAGGCTTACATGAATGTCGCCCCAGTGTCTACAAGCTCCTACCGGTCGTAGTAATTTGCCAAATCCCTTACACAAGATGTTCACAGTGGTGGAAAAAATGATATCCGAAAGTGCCAATTGCGACGCTTGATACGCAGAGGAGGCCGTGGAAAGTGTGCAGATGCAGTCTGAGGCTAGGATTTAAATATAGAATATTATTTTTCATCAAAGTCAAAATGAAACTGTTGATATCGAGTTCAGCATATTAATATGGAAAACAGTTACTTTTACTATACGATATTCACTCCTACAATTAAAAGCCATTCGACAACCCCTTATTACCAAACTTAGGTATATACAATGAGCATATTTTTTTAAACAAAACTAAAAAGGGTTATCATAGGTTATTAAATAGTTATTATTTGACCACAATATTTTAGTATCTGTAAGGTGTGTCTACATAATATTAATAATAATAATAATAATAATAACAATCATTTATTAGGCATCCTTCCAAAAGAAACCACAGTTTTATGTGACATATCTGTTGATATACCCATATATGGACACGATGCTGTCATATTGTACCCGCATTGGGCAAATCACAGCTATTTGTTATATATAACTTGTAGAGTTTGCAAAGCTTATGATTTTTTTCTGCTTTTGTAACAGCAGTTATCAGCTTGTGTATAGTGAATTTACATTTCAAAACAATCTCAAAAAGATATCTATGGTCAGCTGGTTTGGCTTCTGCCATCAGCATCAGCTTTCATTAATGTATAGATTTGGTCTGTGTAAACTACTAAAGCCTCTAAATTTACCAGTGAAAGTGTGGAGTGGAAGTGAAATAATGTTAATAATAGAAGAAGACATTTTGAATAATTTAATATTTGTTTGCAGATGTGCTCATCAACAAGTTATATTATTAAACTACAAACCAATAATGTTGTGACATAATGATATTCTGAGGCCTAATCTAAAAGTTACTGTAGTTATCCAACTAATATGCAAGTGATATTTTTAAAAATAATCAAATAATTAATCTTTAAAAGTAATTTTTACATAATAAAATATACGATATCAGGGATAACATATTGTAACAGAAATGGTCATACTAAAATATTACGCAACATTATTACATAATTTTTTACTGTTAAACAACTGCAGTGAATTAGAACATTAATGTAATTAGCATTATTTAAATTATGACCATTAATATTACTGTTAAATTATTTTTTTAGATTCATTTTTCTGGAAGCAAAGTTTTAAGAGATATGTACACTCCTGTCTTTATAAAAAATTATGTGGTTACACTATACTTTCTTAATTTTTATTTCATATAAAAGGTAATGGAGGTGATGTGCTAATGCAACTTAATCAAAATTACATTTGATTTCTACAGTATAAATGTTTGGTTGGAAATGGAATTTATAACAGTGCAGACTTAATATGTCAATTGATTGATATGGTATAATGAAGATCTGTATGATTTTAGTAAACTTGGCTTTTTGATGTCATCCAATTTAGATTCTATCATTTTGTTGTTTTTTTTTATTGTCATTTTAAGTCCCCCACCGGACAGAGCTCGTCGGGCAGTCAGACCATAAATCATATAAAAATAGGCCCACACCAAACCATCACATGTCTGTCACAGTCTGAGAGTGCCTTTTTTGGCCATCCAGAGGTTGATATTCTTTTAAAAAAATCTCATTTAGGAGGGGGAACCCCCTCTCAACCCCTTCCCCAAGCTCGAACCTACGAGCTCAAGTCCTCCCTGTCGGACAACTTAGCCCCCCCCCAGAAAATATATCCTAGAGCCGCCACTGTCTCAGAGGCCGAGAGTGCAGCACATAATTCATCTTCCTTTCCTCTTCTTTTTTTTGTTTTATAGAGTTTGTTTTATAGAGTGATACAAATTGTTCCTAATTACCTTATATTTTATTCCAGGTTTTTAAAGTACAGTTATATCCATTGTGATTTGCAAACAATCATTAAAACAATTTTTATGAATATATTAAGAAATATGCCCTTTTAGATTCTTCGAAATCATTAGGAGTAATTGTTCTTACCATTTATCCTTAATGTTTTTGCACTAGCCAAGAATGCGTAAAGACTGTAGGTCATAATTTCAAGGCCTTATGCACCTCATATTATTACCCTTGCCAAACATGGTGTGGAACACTTACTTAAATCCCTGGGGGAGTATTCCATTATATTGCAGCTTAGTTGGAACATTGTTATTCAAGCCTACAAGGCACCCATTCCACCTTTAATCCAAAGTGAGACATTCCACCCAAGACTTGAATAACTGCTCTTTGGAACTAAAACCACAAGGCCTGATAACTGTAAGAGGCGGATTCATGGTTTGGGATGGTGGCGGGAGGGTGGGGACACAGGTGGTTGGCTCCTCCCTAAATGTGGGAAGGGGAAAACGGTGGGGAATTAAATCTAAATCCAAGGGTGCCATTTCTAGCCATCTAGAGTTGCCATAGCCATAAAATTTCATACTTCAGCCCTAACTGTGTTGAAGGTTACATTATATGGACCCTCCATCTTAACATTCCCTTCTCTTACCCACCCTCTATTTTAAATTCCTATATCTATCACTGTAAATGATACTAATGACAAATGATAATTCTATGTAAAGCAATATGGAAAATACTATATCATTGAAATGTTTTTAATTAAGTTGTTGGATACATTTATCGATACAGTGGTTTAAATTACCTTTACAGTCACTTTACATGTTTATTTAAACAAGGGGGTTTTAATGGTAAGTGTTTTTTAATTTGAAAATTCATTAAGTGAAAGATAAACAGTGATATTATTAAGTATGCATCAAAGTAGTAAGTGTATGTTCATAATAGATCCTATTGACATGAGACTTTTTAGGCTTAGATTTACAAAAGGTGAGACATAAGTGGGTTAAATTTGGTGCGTTAGTGACGTCAGTAACTCACATGGATCGTTAACTAAACCTATTTCAAAGTAGGTTAGTCAATATTAACAGATATTCAATATTTTTCAGGTTATGTCTACATATCATATGGTACTGCCTTTGTTTTCCATGAGGATTTTCTAATATAGTTTTAGGATTCTTTTCCATATCAATCTTTATCCTATCATAATCTATATTCTAAAGTTATCCATCCCCAGTGAATAAATGGGGATGGATTTCATGTCTAAGCCACTTGATTTCTGATTTAAGTAGTGTTATATTACCTTCAATCATACAGAATTTCAAATAATAATATGAAAAAATTTTTTTTTTCATATTTTTTATATAATTATAATTATTCTTTGATAATGTTCCATTGCAAGGGTGCTATATCAAATTAGTAATGGACTGAATGTTAAATAATGTAGTATTTCATATATTTATTTCTTTATTATGTATTATATATTATTTATTAATGTTTCCAACTTTTCATCAGTTTTATGTGTGAGGAATAAACAGGAATTCTAGTGGAAATTGCAACTCATAAACCCTTTAAAGAGTGAAGTCATTTTTTGTGAGGAAATATTCTGTCAATAGTATTTGAACATTTATTAGAGCACTCTTACAGGGATGGTGTCACAGCTAAGAGAAAAATGATGAAGAACGATAGAGGTGAGTTATGAGAATGAAGGTATTACATAGAGGGATTATGAACCAAATGAAAAAAAAAATAGGTAGATAGAAGCAGGTAATTACATGTACCATTGACAGGTATTAATAAATGGATTATCAAATCAAATTATTTGGTATGTATTGATAAGTAGACAACTGGACCAAAGGTACACTTGACAGGTGGTTGTTAGACAAATAAATATAGAGATAAATTGATTAAAGGGCATTCAAGATTGATGGCTACATAGATGAATAGGTACGCAGTTCAACGTCATACAGTTAAATACGATGAATTGGCTCACAGTTGTGGAGGTTGGATGGATTTAAAGGGCAGACAGACTAAATGTAAGGATAGAATGCTGATGGATGTATAAAGATACTAGTGGCTTGATAAATTGTAGAAAGATGAATGAATGAATGGACAGATAGCCAGAAAAGGAAACGATAAAGTAGGCTTGTTGTAATGGCATGTGAAGGTATGAATGGATGCATGGATTGATGCCTAATATGATGGATAGCTAGGTGAATTGATTGGTGTACAGATAGATGGATGGATGGAGAGAATGATTGGCAAATGGAAAGGTTGATCAATGATAAGATATATAGTTGAATAAATGGATGGATAACTATATTAATGAATGGATAAATAATTGGTAAATTAACAATTGACGGATAGTCAGATGACAGCAGACGGCCAAACAGATAGATATATATTGAATAGATAGAAGATAAGTCTGGTCTGGCCAAATAGGCAGACGAAAGGGTTGACAGTTCATTATAAGGATACCTATGAATATAAAGACCTTCGATTGGATGGGCAACAAGTAAAAAGGAGAAAGAATATAGGACAGATTGTTGGACAGACTTTAGGTACAGATAAAAAAAATGATGAATTTCAGGCTTGCTAGAGTAATTAGTGATGGTTGGGTAGACAGTATTTAAGAGTACAGGGTATAAACAGACACCAAACTGGATAGATGAATAGATAAATGAATATCAATGAATGATTTAATGAATAAATGATTTTAATGAATGAATGAATACAGTAAGTGACGTAAGGAATGGTTACATGATTTAATTAATTTAATTTAATTAATAGGTACTGTAGATGGAAATAGTAGGTCGACATAAAATAGTTTTTGTTTTGAATTTAAGTAGATTGACCACTCCTTTCTGATTAAGTTTGTGTTCTATAGGGGATCCACAAATTTCTTTTTTTGTAAATAGCATAGTGGTATAAATGAAGAAAGTCCACAACAGATTGTTGTGATTATATTTGAAAAAATTCTCTCAATTCTGGTCCCTGCTGGCCTGCATTCAGTCCACCATAGGTTCAATTTGCATTAATTTGTACAACACTGGTCATTTGGGATCTGGTTCTTTCTAGCCGTCACTTACACTAATTGGTTTTCATCCCCATAATCTGATAAAGAATTGCAAACAAGTAATATGATTTATTAAGTGTTGGATTGGTACATTGTAGGAAGTTGACAATGATCATAAATATGTCTTTTTATTACTATTACTATTTTAAGTCCTTTATATTTTGATTACATTAGCTTCTTTTGCATTAGTATGAGATTTAGATACCAGTAGGCAACATTATTTTAAATCATGGCTCACTCTTTGAGAATCAGGAGTTTAATGTACTGTTTATAATGTGTTGAGTGATATATGCTTGGGTGTGTTTTTTTTTTTTTTTTCATTTGAGTTTTCTGTTTTGGTTTCCAGGTTAATTCATTCCTTAATACCATTGATTTTCATAACCATGGATGTAGTTATGGTGGGCGGGGCCAGCCTTGAAGTTTTCCACCCAGTCTAAAGCTTATTTCATGGCCCTCCAACTACCCTTATAAACCCACTTTTCCATCCTTAAAGTCTACTCTTATTATTTAGAGTTTACCAATGTTATCACATACCCACCCTAAAAATGCCTATTACCCACTCTTTAGTTACAACCCTGCATTATGGATCATACATTTCTCATGTCATGTGCTTAGTTCAATCAGTCTCAATTGTTAAGGATACTTCAGCACCAACTTTAGTTTTATTCATTGATAATAGGTTAAAATCAAATTTTCTTTGACAAAATATATATACCATATATAGTCATGATGTGTCTATATATGGTCATGATATGATGTCATCATAACTATTCAGGCATGCCACATTGTTTTTTCAAATAAAATTTGATAGTATTGACTTTGGGAACTGATGGGCTGTGCAAAGGTTAAGTGGGGTAAACGGGAAGATGTGTCACTGCTTAGTCACCATCAGATGTATTCTACACAGTACATCCAGGTAAACATGTAACACTTTCTCTTTTTCATCATCACTAGGCAAACACACCTCATAATTGCTCATGCAGTTTTTATATCGAGTGAAAGCTCATTTTCAGGAAGATTTTGCCAGAACAACATCTGAGTCTCAATAGGGATTAATATTACAAGGTTAAATATTTAAGATGTTTTAAGTTTTTTTTTTTTTGCACTAGATTAAATAATAGATTTTACTGTAAAATATGCACATCTGTGTTAAATTATACAGTTTTTTGTGATTTGATATGGATTTAACTGATATAAATGCTATTTATTCACAAAAGCAAGTGCAGTGTATTCAGTGCAGAGAATGTTTACCACAACAGGTGTGTTTACTGCAGTTGGGAGTGATAATAAATAATAGAAGCACATATGCCATATATTTATGTAATATTCAGTAGTGGTTTGGCGCAGTGGGAATAGTTTGGTTTCCCATCCTCGAGGTCGGGGTTTTAATCCCTCGCTGTGCATTTTAATTGTGTCCTTGGGCAAGGCGCTTTATATGCATTGCTTCTCTCCACTCGGGAGTATAAATGGGTACCTGGTAGGCTTCAATGATTTAGCTGCTGCAACTTATGGAATACTCCCCAGGGAGTGTTGTGTTCCATTGTGTTCCCAATGACTGGGGGGGGGGTAATAATGTGAAGCACCTAGAGGCCTTGTTGGCCTTAATCGCTATCTAAGTAACATATTATTATATATGACATGAAATTTCTCAAAGACACATAATTTAAAACATCAATTGAAATGAGTAAAATTTAAAACATCAAAATATATTTTGAAATTCTAAATAGGAGGTAGACAATATTTTATGCAAGTGATTTAAAAAAAAATAAAAATTTAGATTTTTCTAAAATATTAAAAAAATGGATTATTGTAAAAAATGAAATAAGTGGATAAAACCATACTTCAACAGGTTAATTAAAAAATACAAGAAATATTTCCTATAAAAAATTGCCAAAACATCTTTAAAACTTATAACTGGTTTGTATTTCCAAACTTAATAAAGTAACATATTCTTGAGGATGACCTACCATCTTCAATGCATTTCTTTTATGGTATGACAAATAAACAAAAATAATAGCCTATAGGTACAGGAATAGGTTTATGACTGGTGTAACAGTAGCCACAAAGTTATTTACATTGCGGTCACAGGATTAAAATAATAAAAAGGCATACTATACAGTACTGTACGTTAGAAACATGGAATAAAATTCACAAACCAGTATAGTATATAATTTGGTGTAGACCTACCAAATTGTATAGACTTTCTTTAGCTTGTGTTCTTACCAACCATTATTGTTGTTAATAATAACATTAATAATTATATTATTATTTCTATTTTTTTAATATTTTACTTTATTTGTATTCAATCGTTAAAAATATATTTTATTATTTTTATTATTCTGCTGGCTGGGTTGGACGAGTTATAAATAAATTCTATCATCGCCGATTTATAGACTTTCTTTAGCTACTGTTCTTACCAACTATTATTGTTGTTATTAATATTATTATTAATATTGTTATTATTTTAAAAATATTATTTCATTTATATTAATTTTTTTTAATCAGAAAAAAATGATTATTAATAATAATATTGTTATTGTTATTATTATTATTATTATTTTTTAATATTTTATTTTTTTGTATTCAATATGTAAAAATTCGGACAAAATAAACACAAAGTTTATTAAACATAAAATAAAAGCACCATTAATTTAGTAAAAGAACTGATTTGAAGAATTTCAGTCATTAGTGAAGGCCCTGGAGATTGACTCATTCCCTGGAGACTTGGTCTGTTTGATGCCCTATAAAACTCAAATGAAGTATTGATTTCCTATGTATTTGAAAGGATCAAATATGTGTTAACAGCTTCCAATGAACCTCAGACCAAAAACAATTACAGACTTTACTACGAAAAAAAAAATGACTGCAATTTTTAGTAATCAAATTTGCAGTGGAGCAATGGGAGTGGGAACTAATTTGAGCAATGGAATTTTACATGAAATTTTACAAAATTAAGAAATTCAGGTAAACAATAAATATAGAATGATATAGTAATAGTTTTGCTTAAATTTGCTCGTAACATGTGAACTTTACACGTAAAAAAAATATCAGCATTTATAATTAAATAGAATGTGAGTAATTATAAACATTTATGAAAGATTGTTGTTATAATATCAATACTTTAAATTCTACAACTCCCTGATTCTATAATAAATGCTCACTTTATATCATACATAATGTTATCATTATCATTATGTTACATTATATCATAATTCTAATTTATTATAAATGCTCATGCATCACTTTCATAAATGTTCATATTATTTTAAATGCTCATGTTCATAGCCTATCTCATCTGCTGTATATTACTCTTCTCTTTACTTACATTCACACACTGTCATCAAAACTGCTTGTTCTGTCTTTAAGCTAAAATCATATGCAATGATTTGTGAGTGCCCATTCCAGACTTCAAATGCTTATAGATTTAAGTTGTATTAACATGTTAAACTGCCATGATTATCAATGAATATATTTAGACACAATTGGACTATCACCAAGATATAACTTAACCATTTTATAAACAAATGACGTCTGCAGACATCAGTATACTCATAA